TTCTACAGTCTTTTTCTAAACAAAGAAAAGCAGACAAGTGCAAGTGTCCATTTTGTGAAGGCTGGAGCGAGCCTGTTATGAATGAGCAGCTAGTCCTACAAGAAGTCTGAATAAAAATTAGCCAACTTAATAATGGCTTACTCTTATCAAAATTTTCCATACTTACAAACCAGCTCTTCACCCAGGTTGGATTTCATGTCGCTGCTGTTACTTCTCTGGACCTTTCCTTTTCGCAGGCTAGTTCCATGTGCTTGGGTCAAGGGGGTCGTGCTATGTGGGCCTTATCTTGGGAGACTTGGTACATATTAAAATCTTGACCCATTAATAGTAAATTACACATTAATATTCATAATTCACAACCAACTCCCAAACAATTGCTAAGTCTTAAGAGCATCAATTTCAAGGGAAATCATCTCTGGTGGCCTGCTTAGAAGACCTTCTCTGCAAATTCTGAGGATCATTACACTAAATTTTAGTTGGTATGTACAGTCATAACAGCGAGCTCATAGAGGCAAAAACAAGGCTGATAAGAATAAAGTGAGTTCTGTCACATATGTTGAATTTTAATACATTAATTGCTTGGCTTGGCTTTGTCTTATTAAGGTCAGTTAAGCTTAATATTGACCTTTTCCCTTTAAGGAAAATGCCTGTTTAAGAAGTTGCTGATGGTTTTTTAAAACTTTTTTTATTGGAAAGGAAATATTTTGATAATTTAGGATTAGATGTCATCGTTTAGCCATGTCTTTTAAAAAAAAATCTATGAGGGGCTGGTGAGATGGCTCAGTGGTCTAAAGCACCTACTTAGAACAAGCTTAGCAAAGCACAGGGACTGCGGTTCAATCCCCCAGCCACCACATGCCAGCCAGTCCCGCCCCCTGGTGGGCTGAGCTGGCCACACACATACACACACACACACACACACACACAAATCTATGAAACTGGTAAACAGTAAAAAATGATTATTGTAGGCCCTTGTGCTTGTGAAGAGAGCCCTTCGTGTGTATTGAAGTACTTTGTGTGTTGGTTGTTGGGATAATGGGGCCATGTGCTTTGTCCTAGGGTGAGCTTGGGGGAGAACAGGCCTTCCCCCTTTCTTAACTCTGTGTGTGTGTGTGTGTGTGTGTGTGTGTGTGTATGTGTTTAGGCAGACAGTAATTTAGTACTTCTTTGGGAACTGATGCAAATGAAGTTTTTTAATGAAAACGTTAACACGAGGCATTCTTTACGTGTTAGTCTTCAAGTATTTTATGCCATTCTCAAGTTGGAGCTTGTTAAAACGGATGGTACCTAACATTCAAAAGAGGGCAGTACGCGGTTAGTCATGAAAAAAGTGTAGCGCTTTGACTAAAAGAGCAGCCAGCAGCCAGCTGATGGCTTGGTCATTGTTCACATTGTTGGAGGATAAGCCTGCACTTTTTTTTTTTCTGCTGGTTTTTGTAGCAAGTCTCATATTTCATAGAAGTTCCAGGAGGATTTCATAGCAATAATTAAAGTTAAATGCAGAGCAACTCTTTTCATAATACTGTTTACAGGGCTGGGGACATGGCTCAGTGGAATATGCACTTACCCGGCAAGCACAAGGGCCTGAGTTCAATCCCCAGTTCTGCCAAAAGAAAAAAAAAAAGCATAGTACTGTTTACTCATTACAAATCTCAGACTTACTCTGAAGATAGGACCCCATCCTGTGTGTGTGTGTGTGTGTGTGTGTGTGTGTGTGTTTCTGCCACTGTAATGCCTGAAACAGGCTTTTTCTTTTGGAGATGGGAATTATTGTATTTCTACCGATATTATTTTTAAGGATTTTAAATCTATGTACAAGTCAAAAGAACTTTTTGACTGTATTCTTCTCTAGTGAAAAATTGTCACAATTTTAAAAATATAGTCCACCATGCATTTTGGGAATGTGTTTGAAGTGACAGTCATTACAAGTGTGTCACATGTATTTCCCAAAAAGCAAAGTTGGATTCACTTACCTTATCTATCACACTACTATTATCATCCTGGACATTAATGTTGAAAGAGCACTATTAAGAAGTATTGAAAAGTTTGCATTAAAGTTCACATTAAAAATCCGCCAGTTTCACCATAGTATCTTATATGAATTCTTTATTTTTTGCTGTGCAATCTGTCAGTCCTTTCATACTGCTTAATCTTATGGTTTTTAGCACCTTCTATTACTAGGATGGATCCCTGTACATATTTTTGTGTTTCTCTTAATTCTTCTTGCTTTAGAAAATTAGTTTTCATCTGTGTTTGGTAGTTCTACCTTGAGGAACATACAGCAAGGGGATTCTTACGTGTTCCTGAGGCAATCAGATTATACTATGTTGAAGGTTATATTGGAGTTTAGAGTTTTGAAGTCAAATAGGAATCTATAATTTTGCTTTTGGGTATAGGCCCAGTTCATAGATGATTAATTAATGTCAGTAGGGCCATTTTGCTTTGAGATATTTGGATGGCTCGTATAACTTCTGTTTAGTGTGTGCCAGATGAAGATTCTAGTTGAGTCACAGAAATTTGGACAAGTAGGTCATAACTCTATTGATATTAAAACATATTCTGTTTCTTCTGTATTTTTAGAGGAAGGTCTACAGAGTGTTCAGGGTCTCACTACTAGATTGGACTCATAGTGATTCCCCTGTTTATAGCCTCCCAAGTGCCGGCCCTTCAAAACATATTCGTGAAGAGAATTAGGAATTCAAGGAATGAAGGTATTTGTCACATCACCCCCAAAATGAGAATTAAGTAAGGTTGCTGATAGGATCTTGTGAATCTTGAAATGGACGTTTCGCTGTCGATTCTCGCTACTTCGGCGTTAGAAACTGAGCACACGTATCACGCAGGCTCGCCTTGACCTCCTGCGCGGCACGGCGCGAGGCTCCTAGTTCTCTCCTCTTTGTTCTTTCTGTTGATAGCGACCTGGTGTACTCTGCTCTTCCAGCATTGCAAGGCACATGATTTGTGTTGTAAATCTCATTTTCCTGTATCACTAGAAACTCACCTGTGTCTATTTCTTCTTTTAAGAAAAATGCTCATGTAGAGGACATCAAAGTCTCGTGTAGTACACTACCTCAATTACTTAAAGAAGATAAGCAAAGATATAATAGAAACAAAGCTCTTGGCAAACTGTCTTAAATACTCACGTCTTTTCCATGTAGCCAGAACATGCAATGAGAGTTGTAGTAAATTCTTCCCAAGATCGTACTGCTCTATCTCTGTACCCAAAGTCGCTCTAACAGCGGCTCACATTTGTGCTGTGTATAATTATTGCCAACCCTTTAATATGCCTTTGATGAGATTGCTATCTTTGGGGCCTTGTGCTTGAATTACTATATTTAATCTGATGCTTGAAATGATTTGTATCTATTATGTCTGCTTTGCATAAAACACTTACTCTTTTCTAGTCCGAGGACCTCATTTATAATGGTCGATTAAAGGGGAAGGATGGTTTGGGTTTTGAGTCTGGAGATAGGGCTGTGTCTGACTCTTGTTCTCTCAGTGATACTCCTAGGCTGAGATAGCTTGTCTCCAGCTGAGGAAATCTTGTTTGTGAAATGCAGTTTGTGACAGGGCGGGGACAGAACTGGTCACAGGCCTCAGGGAGGCTCTAAATTGCATATCAGCTTCCCCATTCAGTAGC